TGTGTGTGTGTGTGTGTGTGTGTGTGTGTGTGTGTGTGTGTGTGTGTGCACGCACGTGTGTAGCTAGGGTGTTAGCGCGCAGATGTAGACACCTACTCGGATCAATCTCCTCTTCCTCGCTGATGTCAACTTCGTCCGACTCCGAATCGCTGCTGCTCTTCCTGTCGAACACGATCGGGCTGATGTCCCGCTTCTTCCTCTTCCTGTCATGTCGCCCGGACTCCCTTGTTCCCGCCATCCCTTCTCCATCACGATCTCTCCTGTCGCCTGCGAGAACCGGTTACATCAATCATTGCACACGGTAACGTAAATCATTATGCCCATACACATCTTTACAAAGTAATCATGTTCAAACAGTTTGCACCATTATATTATAAAACCGTGTGGTCAACACACGTTTCACCAACTGCTTCCCGACCATCCGTCCTAAAGGGTACTATTCACCCTAAACAGAGGGAGGGGGGGGGTCATTGTGAGAAACATAACACACAGTTACATTCCAATACAGTTACATTCATAATTCACAGACTATTAATCTAAGACGCCACAAATTTGGAATGAAGTGCAAAACTCGTGACATTTCAGAGGAATACGTTTCTGACAACCGTTGTTCCGTCCACAGCCCTAGTGGGCGAAACAGTCGAAGGCAATCCCTAACCACGCATCTGCGATGACAAACAGCCGAAACGTGACTCTGGCCTCTATTTCATGCGTCTCTAACACACACACACACGGGTCGGCTGGTTACGATGGGTCCCTCGCTGCTACCTCACACGCGCGTCTGCTTCCGCACAGTCTCTGTGACGCCGCTCTCACCGTGTCTGTATCCGGAGGCCTTCTGCGCGGAGCGCGACGACGAGAACGGTGGCACCACATCGCTGTCACTGCTCGACGAATCGTCGCTGCTGTCGAGAGACGTGCTCGCCTCGCTGCGTGTGTCGTACTCGTTGCTGTGACCACCGGCGCCCTCTCCCGCGCTGCCCGTCGACGCGCCCTCCGCCATCTTCTCCGTCTTCACGCGCACCTTCTCGGCGGAGGCAGTGGTGCCAGCTCCGCCAGCCAGTTTTGCGGCGACCTTCTCCGATTCGTTGCCTGCGGATGAATGGACAGTAGTTAGGCGTCACGGTCGAATAAAACACGAGGGGTAGGGGTGACTGCTGGGATTGACGGAGGAGAAGGTGACTGCATACGTGCATGTACGCAACCTTTAAAAAACAAACCGAGTTTGCACCTTAACACAAGCACGCGACCTTTAAAAAACAAACCTGAATTTATATCTAGATACATGTATGCACCTCTTCAAAAACAAACTTGAAATTATACCTAGATATATATGCATGTAACCCTTAAAAAACAATCCAGGTTTATAACTTGATGCACGCATAAAACTTTTAAAAAGCAGACGGCACCTAGTGGATACATGCAGGGAAAAAATTTCTTTTTTTTCACGGGAGCTCTTTTTCAAGTCTGGAAAAAATAGCTCTCGTCAAAAATTTCAAGGGAGCTATTTTGACCCGCACGGGAGCGATTTCGGAGGTTTGAAGAGCGAATCGCTCATCGCTCCCGTGTATTTTTTACCCTGGATACCTGTCTTGTGATCTTTCTTCGAGACGACTTCCTTTGTGGCCTTTGCTTCCTTCCGCTTCTCGGATGCGGGGGCTTTCTGCTGCGGCGCGCTCGGCTTAGCTGCTGCTTTCTTCATAGGCTTTGTCTCCTGGTGCTTCCTCTCCAGTTGTGGTGACGGCTTCGGTTGAGGTTTGGTCGGCTCTGTATGGAAAAACAACGTGAACACATCCCGCATGTATTATGCACTAGCGGCGGGACGATTCACTGTCTGATGTATCGACGCACCATGACACAAGCCCTGACGTTACACGCATCGACACGTCTGATCATTCTCGATACACGTATCGATACTCTACTGCATAAAATCATTTGGTAGCATAATTTCATCAGAAAGCAAAAGTGATGTGACACAACTTGCAGTTCAATAGCAGTTGTTCACTAGTTGCTGATTTGTAAGCGTTCACATGATCGGTTGAGATGAGAGACCCAGATGAGGGGATGGTTTGCTAGATAGTTTCTCGTAAAAGTATCGTGTAATGTATTGTAAGTAATTGTATCGTTAAAGGTGTATCGTGATACGGATCGTATCGTGAGTTACCCATATCATCCCACCCCCAATTACGTACGTCTTCTATTACATCATCTATGACAAGGTGAAGAATTCGCCGTAATCGCAAAAAAAAAGGAATTTCGCTTAAATTTTAGCAAGAGGCGCATCGCACTAAAAACTGGCATTACTTTTGTCTTTAGACGGGGTCGCTGGCTTGACAGCGACCTTTGTCTTCGAGGTTGCAGCTTCCTTCTGCTGCTCCGTTTTTGGTTTCTCTTTCCCTTTCCCTGCGTCGGACTCCTTCCCCACTGTAGCCTTCATGGATGAGTTATTGGCGAGCTCTTTGCTAGCAAGGGGAGCGGGTGCTTTCTCCGTTACTTTTTGCTTGGCAGCTGGCTGTTCAGTCTTTGTCTTATCTCCTGACTTCTTCTGCTCTGTTACCTTGAGTGAAGCTTTTGTATCCTGTCAGATTTAAAACATGCTAATCAGGTACTACAATAATATGGAACCAGGGTCCTGGTATCCAAATGGAAGCATTTAAAGCATACCTGTGCAGACAAGACCCAATGTTATACTCACTGCTGAAGACGTCTATAAAATAATTATGGAAACACAATTTGCTTGCTGCATTGCTGTAAATTTTATGGACAAGCTGAAATAGAAAAAACAACATTACCCCCACCCCTTCACACACACACGCAGTTACGTTTGATGGAGTTACTCATCTGTGTATCACCATCACGTACCACAGCCTTTAGCTGCGCTGACTTGGTTTTCTCCTCCGCTTTAGCAGACAACACTTCCTTTTTCACGTGCGTCTTAGACGCGTCAGCTTTGTTCTTCGGCACGGGCGAAGACGACGGCTTTTTCTTACTATTGCTTGTTGCAGTCTTAGCACTAGCAACCTTGTGCGCGTCGGCTTTCTGGCCCGAAGGTGCCACACTTGCAGTTTTTGTCTTAGCAGCTGTGGGCTTTGTCACCGACTTGCTGCTCAATTTCTTCACACTCTGCGTCTTCCCTGTTTTTGCGGCAGAGCTGTGCGAGGTCGTGCTCTTCCCTGCATGAAAATAAAATGCGACCGGATCACACGCTAGCCATGTCGCAAACTAAACATTCGTACACGTCATTATATTTATTCACCTTAGCCGGTTGCTCATAAAAACAGGACTTTAATACAATTACCATTAACTGTTCAGACATTTTGAATTGTTGCAACAAACGCATATTATAAGTCACGGTCACTCATGCTTACACCTCAATGCTACCACGTAACATACCCTCGAAGCCAACTTGTTAAATATCTATAAAGTAATCCAGTGCATACCACCATGTACGACATGGTAATGCAGGGCATGAAATTCAGATTTTTTGCAGTGGCCCAGAGTAACAGCAGTTTTTTTACCAGCCCTCACAATTTGTTTTGTTTGTTTCAAAAATAAAGATAAGACTTTCACCGACTCTTGCTCATCCGAAAAATGTTGTAGTGTGCGGCATCGCATAGTAGCTGTTGAACAGACTGTAATGCAGATCGTGAATAATGTCCGAAGTGTTTTTGTCAATGTCATGTTTCACGTGTGCAGTCTCGATTTCAAATTTGTAAAATGTTGCTAAATTATGGTGTGATACCCTTCAGGTAAAACAGCAATGTAGGCTATTTGCTCATTAATGCTATACTCGCTAACACAGCAGCTGAAACTACCGGCTCGGAGGGCCGGTGTTTTGACAATGTTACTGGCCCTCTAAATAATTTGCCGGCATATGCCGATGGGCTGGTGTTAATTTCGCGCCCTGGTATCGTTTGCCTTAGTATGACACCTCTCTTGCTACACATCATCTTCCCGCGTCATACGAGCATGCACAACGGGCAATCAGTAACGTCGTCCAACGCCCGCGCGAGACGTACCTACTGGTTTCTTGTCCTCGCTCGCCAGTTCGGCAGCCAAGTCATCGTCGCCCACATTAGTATCCAGGATGTCATTCAGTACGTTTACAAGTTCTGCCTGCTCGCCTGCAATTGGGAAATAAAATGGGCGCCTACAGATGCCGCTAACACGTTTACCGTCACTGCAGTTTTGTTGATCAATTTGCCCGCTGACACCGTTAAAACTCTCAGTTTTGCTGCGTATTGACATCGTAGTTATTTCCAACAGTTTATCGTACTGCCAAATGCTGTGTCCTCACAATGTATCAAGAAGAACAGAACATGTAGTTTTACTTTCACTAAGTTCTGACTGCCTTCATCACTGTGACGATTCTATCAATGGAAGTGAAATCGCAAGCAAACGATGTGATCAGAACTTGGAATGTACTACTATTAAAGGCATAATAGGTCCATTGATTATGCAATGTTAACAAATGCTAGAGTAACTGGCACCTTGTGTAGTTAATAAGTACATTACCTTATAGCCAAACGCGTATTAGTTTGTCGAATATCACTGCTAATTACTAAGAAATGTCTAATTGAAATCCGTAAATCTGGTAATCTGGCGTAAATGCTATAAATTGTTTGCCAAGCAAAATAGCCTCGAAACGGTTAGGTGACGTCACATGTTGCTACGGGTGTTGAGCAGAGAATTGTTTGTCCCGGGATGCTTATAACGACCATAGCGACTAATGAGCTCCTAGAATGTATCTCTGGGTGTATTCTCGGTATTGAGGCACAAGTAAATAACCATGGGTGCTAATGAACCGGTACCCACATGTCTTCAATTTGGACACAGGTGTATTCGTTTGACCAATATATGTAAATATGCGTAGTGCCATCTGCTTTCCATGTTTAGTCTGTGGCTGTGGTTAGTTCATTACAATCAGAGCTACTGTTACGTATACAGTTACGGTACTGTGCTATCGCTAGCATTAGGTACGGCCGAGCATGCGTGCGAAAATGTCCGGTGCACTATAAATCTGTATCACACCCGCTTCGCCTTGAAAGTGAAACTGTAAACTGTAAACATTTCTTGGACTGCGGATTTCAATTAGACATTTCTTAGTAACCAGCAGTGATATTGGACAAACTAATACGCGTTTGGCTATAAGGTAATGTACTTATTAACTACACAAGGTGCCACTTACTCTAGCATTCGTCAAGATTGCATAATCAATGGACCTATTATGCCTTTAATTTTAGTACGCGAGAACACACACATGCGCACACGTACATAATAGGCTACTCGCAATAACGTTAAAGAGAATATTTCGATCCCACAAAATTGACATCACAAATGTGACTATTGTATTACCTGCTGAAGTAACTCCCAAATTCGTCAATACGGATTCTGCGACATAGCCTGATGTTTCATCGTCCATTCTATCCCGAGGCTGGACGACATCCACGGCCAAAGACTGATGGAAAAGTTAACTGTACACTGGATTCGTACTAGAAAAAAAAATCAGATTTCAGTATTCGAACGGTGATAGTAAAAACATGCAATTTCGGAAATAAAGCACACAACCAAACATGCCACAGAGACAAGGTTGTCAAATGCACAGTTTACTCTCTATGTGGACAACATGGGATAAGTTTTACTTTACGACCACAGCACTTACAAAACAAGTGCCGCAGAGCGACAGCGCTCAACTGACGTGTACTGTAGCCAGGTATTCTTCTGATAAACTCACTGGCAACCGAATCAAGTGCGCCCTCCTGCCACCGCGTTCGCGCTCAGAGCATATATCTAGGTTACTACTAATACAGATCTAAAATCTATGATAGGCTTTGCTATACCTACTCGTGGTACAGTAATAAAGATATCGCTAGTAACTTTAATGACTTCGCTATATTAACATGTTATCATGGATATGCGTCGAGCGCGAGCGTAGTGGTGGTGGTGGGGGAG